CCTAAATGAATATAAAAAGAGTTTTAGAAGGTCTGTGGAAAAGGAATCTTGGAAAAGGAATTTTATGTGTGGTCAAGCTGATTAAAATGGGAATGGATTGCTTTGTGTATGAATGTTACTAATATACGTATCTCAGAAATTGTTGAAAGTTGCTAGAAATTTGTCAATATTCTCATTGTCCAACTACTAACCTAAATTATTGTATGCCACAGAAATAACTACATTTCCTTATCAAATGAACTCTCATCAGATCTATAACCATGGCTATTTGGTTAAAAGTCCTTTTGTCATTTATTATTATTTTTACTATTATTATTTTACTCTGATGCTTTTGCAAAGGTGCTTCATCTTCAGACAGATTCATGGAAAGGACTCTAATTTCTCTAGAATGTAAGTTTCTTATAACTTTAAGATTATAAAACTAAGGTGAAAAAGAATTCCTAGAACTTATGGAAAAATGGGATTCAAGCAGAACAGAAGTTAATAAATCCCAGTTAATTCATGGGCTGGAATGAATTGATGAAGATGATTCGAATTTTTTTTACAACTGTTTCTTTGCAACATTGCTGGTTCCTTAGTTTTGTTTTCTTCTAGGTTTAAGGAAAGCTTTTACTCTTTTCTCTTAAGCCATCTATGACTGTAATTTTGTAAAGTATACCTTTGTAAACGAAAATGAAACATTTACTTTTTCTTCCTATCTTATCCCTCCATAATTCAGAAACCTATTGAGTATTCCTATTCTCATGGCAATATAGTTATTTGCATAAATTTAATAGAATCTGTTCTCCTTATACCAGGACACAATTGCAAACATTGGTTATATTACCAAATCTTTGACTGGAATGTCATGTTTGAGAACATGTATACGATCAAATATGACCAGACAGTTTGAAGGAACTAAGGTTGAGTTCATGTAACCAATAAAAGCCTCTTGTTAAAACTAGCCTGATACATTGCTTAAGGGGGGCTGCCTGTATACTTACCAGGTGGGCATAAGAGAGGTCACTTCCTAGCAGCCCCTTAGGAACCCTCAGGACACCTTCAAAAAGAAGAATTCATGCAAATCTCTAGATATTCCAGGTGAAGTCTAATGGTGAGTTCTTGGCTTGGTTTTTTAGCCTCAAGAGGCTTTTAACAGTCCAGACTAAGATTCATTATGAAAAGGTCCAGTTAAAGAAAGTTTAAAAAAAAAGAGGCTGTATGGTTGATCACTGTGCTTGCTGCACTTGTGTAAATAATCAGGCCAAATCTAATAAGACTAGACATATTTTACAAACAAATTAGTCTTACTGTGATGATCCTTGATAGAGATGAGGGTGACTGTAGAGGAAAAATTTGTATTTCATAGGACATTATACACAAACTTGTAGACATCAGATTTTAGTCCTATTTATTGTCTTTGAGGTTTTGTTATATACCTATAAACTGAAGGGGATCTTGAAGTCTAGTCCCTACAACTCTCCATATTAAAGTCAATTTTCTCCCATCCTTCTGATTTGGAATCTCTAAGAAGAAAGACTGCCTTAAACCCTCCTTGGAAGAGACCATACCCGGTCCTCCTTACTACCCATACATTAGTCAGACTTCAGGAACTTGACTTTTGGGTCCACGTCTTCCAGTTAAAAAAGACTTGGAATTGCACATCAGCTAGAAATCTAAAATTAAAATTGACGAGGGAGGGGACTCCCCGGAAATAGATGGCATCTCAAGGGGACAGGTCTCTCAAGTTCACAGATCAAGATCTTCATATCCATCAGGAAGAGTCTATTCTTTTTGCTTTTTTGCTACTTGCTTTTTTTCTCTCTGTTAATGCTCAGAAGGACAGTGCCCTTAATTCTGACAACTATCACTGAATCTACCAAATAAGGCCACACATAGCTGCATAGTAGAAGTCCCTCAGCTTTGCTGCTTAAGGTGGATTTAGATAATAGAATTGCTTTAGATTAATTAGTGGCTGAACAAAGAGGGGTCTGTGCCATTGCAAATAACTTCTGCTGTACCTGAATCAATATTTCTGACATTGTAGCAACTACAAGAAATTAATAAATATGCTGCTTGGCTAAAATAGGTTGATGCCATTTCAGGTACATTTTAAAAAGCTATTTAATACCAGTTGCTGTGGTTCATGGATGCCCTGGCTAATGAGTCTCTTGGTGTTACCCTCCTAATAGTTACTACTGTAGTCTCCCCTTGTGTGCTGTGTTCTCTAAAAGGTCTTAAGTGCATGTTTGCAGTCATCAGCAGTACATCAGATGGTCTCACTGCAGAAACAGAAACAAGATGAACAATGAGAGGAACACAAAGACAGTTCTTCCAAGGATCTGACGTCTGTTCCTGGAAGTTTCACGATGAGACAAGAGCAAATTAGTTTTGATGGTGACTGAGAATCACACTACTAGGTGTTTGGTCAATCTCTCATGTATAAGAGGATGACCAAAATGGGAGAATTGTTAAATTAATTAACGAAGGAGGTCGTTAAACTGATGTGGCTTTAATGTTGTGGTAGCCTATGTGACCTATATAACCCAAATCTAAGCCCATATGTGCCTAGTGGGTATGAAATGAAAATGCTGGGGGCAGCTAGTCACTCATAGCCAATCAGTAATTTCCTGAATTTGCTTCCGCCTTTTCTCTGTATAAGTTTCTCCCCTGCACACCTGTTGGTGGAACACTCCTAAACACTTCTAGTTTGGTGCTATTTGATTCAAATCAATTTTTTCCTCTAATAATATAGGATAATGATATTCATTCTGTACACTGGAGAAAATGAATGAGACTAATGTAGTCAGGGATGGACTTCTAGAAGTCTGAGGCCCTCCCTACCTGGTTGTCCTGAGGACTGAGGAAACCATATATCAGCCTCCTATAATGCATTCATGATACATCAGGGCCAGCTCTGCAGCCTAGGAAACCTAGAGGAACATATATTCTGATCTTGTTATGAGCACATCTTCTTTAAAAATGTTTCTCTCTCTCTCTCTCTCTCTGTGTGTGTGTGTGTGTGTGTATGTGTGTAACCTATTCCTTCCATTGATTATGTAGGACCTTATAATTGTGAAACTCCTCCTTAGTGGAACTATAAATTTTTTCTTGACTGCTTTCTGATCCTACCTGTTCTCTGTTAAATATGCTCAATTCCTATTTTAAACGTTTGATTTATTTGATTTTTCTTGCCTGGAAGTCATTCACTCAATAATTATTAATGGAATTCTTTAATATACCAGGTCTTTTGATAAACACTGGGGATAGAGAAATGGTAAAGGCAGTTTCTGAGTCTAAGGGGTTTCCAGTTTAGTGGAGGGAAACACAGGAATGATAAGAGAAAGCAAGAAGCGCTTCATGGTGGTTGGTGCAAGGTTCCATGGCCTCTGATTGGGGCAAGTGGGAAGACTTCCCAGAAGCAATGACATTTGAGATGTAGCTTGAAGGAGGATTGAAAGTCTGACATTTGAGTGGGGGAAACAGAGTGTTGGATAAGAGAAACTTACGGTTTTAAGAACTCGGTGAGCTTGTTAGTGAGCCTAGAACACTGATTCAGGCAGCAGCCAGAAGAGTGACAGAGGACGAGGGTAGAAATGAAGGTACAGTTAGGTTCTGGGGAGTTCTGCTTGCTGCACAGAAAGGTTAGGACATTTTATGCAGGAGACTGATGACTTTAGATGGTTTTTACAACATGGCTCTGGCATCAATGTGGAGAATGGATGGGTGTGGAGGTCATTAGGAGATTGTCGTAATTTCAAACAGCAAAGTGATAAGGGCTTGTCCTACGGTCAGGGTGGTGGGGGTAGATGAAAGATGGCAGTCATGATAGAATCCATGGCAATGGATGCAGGAATACAAATGAGTTTGGGCAACTGAGTAAGTGATGGCATCATTAACATAAACAAGGAGAAAGGCTCAACCCCCACCATTTCGGCTCCTCAAATCCAACCCACCCTTTAAGACTTATCTCAAGGGCCATTCCTTTACAAGTCTTCTTGCATCCTTGTTCCCTTAGGAACCATTCTCTTCCCAGAATAGATATTCTGGGAGTCAGCAGTGGACAATTTGCTTAGCAAGCAGAAAGCTCTTATTTCATGTGGGTTAAGTCTGTTTCCTGAACTAGATGCAGGACTGTCATTCACAAGCCCCATGTCTCATGCTTCCCTGATAGTCATCACAGCGACGAGTGCACAATGTCAGCCATTTACTGGATGTTGTCTAGAGTAGGCAGCGGGGCTTGGTGCTGTGCTTCCAAATGAAACCTTAACTTAAAGGAGATGGGAAATGTAGCCTCTCTGATTCATGGAGGGATGAAGGCCTGAAGTCCAGGATCCATGGTTTCCTCCTATCTAGGGCTCCATGAAACACAGTTTGAAAACTTTTGGCTTAGTGGACTGGCTGTGGGTTTGGGGGTCAGAACTGAGTTCTGATCCCCATTCTGTCTCTTACCTAGCTGTACTAGAATAGACAAATGGGGAAACAATTCTGAGCCTCGCTTTCCCTTCTGTAAAACATGGGATAATTATACTTCCAATATAGGCTATTGTGAGGACAAAGTAAGGCAATGCAGGCAAAAATCTGTGGTGCCTATTAAGTGCTCTTATCTACAACTAGGTCGTAGTTGTTGGTAAGAATAATAATAAGACATTTGCTGGCTGATGGAATAACTGATCCTTATTGGATTGATACTTGTTCAGCCTAAATAAATCTACTCTTGCTCAGGTTAGGAAGAGCCAGGGTTAGGGTGAAGTTATGGGGGGAGTTTGGGAATCAAAGGATACCCAATCTTGTCTTATGCTGTGCTCCGTCCACACCATAAACCCATGATTGCCTACCTCTGCATGAACGTTTATCAATATTTAATGTGTGGGTGTCAGTTGCTGTAAACTGAGCATACCCCAGCACCAACTTGAATTAATTATATGCAAGAGGAGAGAAAATAAAATGCCTTTTCTTGAGAGCCCCAAATTTTACTGGCCACACTAAAGCCTGGAAACCACAGAGTGAAATTTCTACTGATGGAGGACCCTGAGAAGAAGCTGAACCAGAAAAGTGATGGCAAACCACGGAAAGTACGCTTTAAAATCTCTTCCTCCTACAGTGGCAGAGTGTTGAAGCAGGTCTTTGAGGATGGGCAGGAATTAGAGTCGCCAAAGGAGGAATACCCTCACAGTTTTCTCCAAGAGTCCCTTGAACCAATGGATGGTGTTTATGGGTCTGGGGAAGCCCCCAAACCCCAGCCATACTCCCCTAAGCTGACTGCTCAAAGGATCAGCGTATTTAGAGAGGGCAATGCCTACACTTTGACGGGCAGCCAGCCTTTCTTCAATGACTACAAAGCGAATGATCATAAGGTTGGTATTGTGTGGTGTATAAACTTTAAGGACTAAAATGTAGATAGGAAAACACTAACTCATTCGAATTTGTATCTTGCTCATGCTCTGGTACCTGCCAAAGCTGTGGGTATACCAAATGGGAAGCTGCTGTTGGAATAATATTTCTGGAACAAAAATAACATGCTTGCTGACTACTTATTGGAAAGTGCAATAAGCATGTATAGTATTCAGTTCCATCCTGGATAGTCAACTGTAATTGGGTTACAGTAATTGGCTAGGTTATCTGGGTAAGTAAATTAAACAGCGATGCAGTGGTTTTCAGCTTGCCAGACTGCCATTTTAGAAAATTATGTGACAACAGGTTGTTTTGTTTCCTGAAAGAGCTGAGTGTTTGAAGGTGCTCACTGCATTCCAGCCAACCATTCAGCTTGTGGCTTATCCATGTCTTATTTTATTTCCTATCTCTGTCTCTGTGCCTGCTTTTTAAAAAAATGTGTTTTTTTGTTATTGTTTATATATTTTGCCTTTCCATTGTTCATTAGCATGAACACTGAGTGATTGGAGCCCTGGGAAGAAATAGTGAAAAGCAAGTCAACCAGAGGAAATGTTACTTGGGGAAAAAGTTTGAGCTAATAGTTCAATTGAAACATGTATTTTATCTGTTAATTTCAGTTCTCTTCCCCAGTACCATAGATAGTCAAAAGCCCATACATGATTTTCTTTTAAGCTAGAAGAACTTGGAAAATATTCACTGATTTCTAAAAATGAAAAAGAGATTGTATATGCCTGCCATTGGGACCATGATTGCCTTTTTTCTTTAAATACAATTATATAATGTGCCAGGTTATTAATGAATGGTACACCAGGATATGCTCTCATCTTTAAAGTGTGAAATTCAGATAATTACTCTCTAATCATTTTTATTGTTAGTTTCCTTAGGGAACAGATAATTCATCTATGGCAGACAAATGCATTGGCCTCTCTGGCATTGGTAAAAGTGTAATTATGGGCAGTCCACATTTATCAAAGATAATACCAGGTTTCTTTTTTATAATAAAGGGGGCTGGAGTGAATAAGCCCTCATGTTAGTGGAGTGACTCATGCATTATTACAAAGCAGTATCACAGACTTTCTCAGTGGTTCTTTATCACAGCCTTGAGGGAAAGGCAAAACATGGTCATTCCCATTTTGCAGATGAGGAAAACTGAGTGCCAAGTTGTTAAGGGATCCACCCAGTATTAGAGGATCATTAGGTGCAAAGTCAGAATAAGAACCCAAGTTTTCTGATTCATCATGCTTTTGGGCATGTGGAATGTTCCTTTTTATTCTCTAAAATTATTCTTTTTTATTCCTATTTGTTCTATTCTCACCATAAAAAATCATGATGTTAACAGTAATAGTTGCCATTTACTGATGCCTACTATATCCTAGGTTCTTGGCTATGTCTTGTACTTACAGTATCTCTTTGAAACTGAATCTTACTTGTAGGTTGAAACTTTACAAAGTTGTAGTTTATGCAGACCTTGTACAAGGCCTGGTAGATAATATTGGACTGCTTGACCTTCACAAGTCATGTGTCAAACTTGACACTTATATTAATGTATAATTTGATAAGGACTTATAAAACCAGATGATTGAGTCTTCATAGCAGCACCACACCATTGGTTTAAACACAGTGCTCTGGAGACCATATTCAGAGTTTGATTCCTTGTTGATCCATTTATCCTTGTTTCCTTTGTTGCCTGATCCAATTTACCTCCCCATCTTAGCCAGCCTCTGGGTAAGAGAGGGGTCAGGATGGAGACCTGTACCTCCACCCACTGAAACAGGTCATCAGTGTGGTATTTATGAAAAATAAGAAAAGACAAGCTGGAAAGCCATGATTTTTCAATAGCAAATCCAACTGTAAAATAGATCCTGGTAAATATTGGCTGTGAAGCAACACTGGGTAGCAGTTAAGCACAATAATTATAAGTAAAGATTCTGAATTTGAACAGGTATTTGTCCACCAATGTTCACAGCAGCTTTATCCATAGTTGCTCACAAGTGGGAGCAACCCGGATGTCCACCAGTAGATGAATGGGCAGATACAATGTGGTGTATACACACAGTCAGACATTACTCAGCTTTGAGAAGGAAGGCTATTCTGACACTGGCTACAACGTGGGTGAGACTTGAAGACACGCGAAGTGAAATGAACCATTTGTAAAAAGAGAATTCCATGGTTCCACCTCTGTGAAGTGCCTAGAGTAGTCAGATTTACAGAGACAGAAAGTATGGCGGTGGTTGCCAGGGGCTGGGGGAGAGGAGAGGTAGGAGTTCAATGGGGATACAGTTTCACTCTTAGAAGATGAAGAAGTTCTGGGGATGGGTCTTGATAATGGCTACACAACAGTGTGAACGTACTGATGCCACTGACATGTACACTTAGAAATGGTTAAAGTGGTAAAAAAAATTTTTTTTTAAGATTTAATTTGTTAGAGAGAGAGATAGTGAGAGCACACAAGCAGAGTGGGGAGCAGAGAGAGAGGGAGAAGCAGGCTTCCCCATTGAGCAGGGAGCCTGATGCGGGTCTCAGTCTCAGGACCCCGTGATCATGACCTGAACTGAATACAGATGCTTAACCATCTGAGCCACCCAGGCGCCCCAAAGTGGTCAATTTTATGCACTTCATATTCTATTCCTTTTCCCAGTAAGAAATAATCATGAGGGATCCCTGGGTGGCGCAGCGGTTTGGCGCCCGCCTTTGGCCCAGGGCGCGATCCTGGAGACCCAGGATCGAATCCCACGTCGGGCTCCGGTGCATGGAGCCTGCTTCTCCCTCTGCCTATGTCTCTGCCTCTCTCTCTCTCTTTCTGTGTGACTATCATAAATAAATAAAAAAAAAATTAAAAAAAAAAAGAATTTAAAAAAAAAAATAAATAATCATGAAAAAAAATCAGGTGCTCTGATATCCATTAAATCTGGGCTTGCTGTCCACTGTACCTTCTTACTGTGGGAGCTTGAGCAGACCACTTAATCTTGCCTGGCTTCAATGTTTTATTACGAAATGGGATTAATAAAAGTACTTAGGAAGATTATTGTGGTGATTAAAAAAGATTATGCATGAGAAATACTTAGCATTGTGCCTGGAACATTGGATGTGCTTAGCAAATATTCCCTATCATTGTGATAATGACCAGGTTCTCATCAAAGAAATATGGAGTCTTTTTTTTTTATAAATTAATTTTTATTGGTGTTCAATTTACCAACATACAGAATAACACCCAGTGCTCATCCCGTCAAGTGTACCCCTCAGTGCCCGTCACCCATTCACCCCCACCCCCCGCCCTCCTCCCCCTCCACCACCCCTAGTTCATTTCCCAGAGTTAAAAGTCTTTATGTTCTGTCTCCCTTTCTGATATTTCTCACAAATTTCTTCTCCCTTCCCTTATATTCCCTTTCACTATTATTCACATTCCCCAAATGAATGAGAACATACACTGTTTGTCCTTCTCCGGTTACTGTGGCCAAGTTCAAAAAGGGTGTTGCCTGAGTTCTCCTCTGGGATTTTGATGGAATCTTGTCTCACATTTAGATCTTTCATCTATTTTGAGTTTATCTTTGTGTATGGTGCAAGAGAGTGGTCCATTTTCATTCTTCTGCATGTGGATGTCCAATTTTCCCAGCACCATTTATTGAAGAGACTGTCTTTCTTCCAGTGGATCGTCTTTCCTCCTTTATCGTATATTAGTTGACCATAAAGTTCAGGGTCCACTTCTGGGTTCTCTGTTCTGTTCCATTGATCTATATGTCTGTTTTTGTGCCAGTACCACACTGTCTTGATGAACACAGCTTTGTAGTACAACCTGAAATCTGGCATTGTGATGCCCCCAGATATGGTTTTCTTTTTTTAAAATTCCCCTGGCTGTTTGGGGTCTTTTCTGATTCCACACAAATCTTAAAATAATTTGTTCTAAGTCTCTGAAGAAAGTCCATGGTATTTTGATAGGGATTGCATTATATGTGTAAATTGCCCTGGGTAACATTAAAAAAAAAACTTTACATGATAGAGAAAGTGGTTATAAACAAATAAGTATTTTACAGAATTGAAACCATTTGAAGTTTATAAGATTTATTTAAAAAAATGAAAGGGAAGGAAGGGACATGGCATTTACTGAACATGTACTTTGTACATATGCCATATCATCTTCACTGTAATTCTTTGAGAAAGATTTTACATATTGGAAAAACAGTGCATGGAGTTTGGTAACTTGCAAATCTTGTACAGAAAAATTGACCTCAAAAAAAAAGAAAAAAAGAAAAAAGAAAAATTGAGCTCAGACCTGCCTGCCTCCAACCCATTGCATTTCTAGGACTCAGGAAGGCATCTCTGCATCTTAAGTGGAAAGGGTTCATGGTGCTTGTATTGCCGTCTCCAGATGTGTGGGCACTGGGTCAGAGCATTTATGAAGCTCAGTCATCTAAGTTGCCATTCTGGGCACCATAGAAGGAAACGCAAAAATTCCTGGCTTCATCCTGGCCCTCTGTAATATAAGAGTGGGTGTTCCTCACGGGCAGTTGGGTCTCACCAGATAACGGAAACTTTGGTTACACCTGGAGGGTTTCCTTAGATGCAAGGAAGAACTTGGCTGTCGAGGTGACTGAAACATAAACACACCTTACAGGTGATTTGGGACCCTCCTTCTTTCAAGTACATTAAAAATAAATTTACTATCCTGGGTGTCTCAGATATAAACCAGGGTAGAAGCAGGAGGTTGGACTACATGACCACAGGCTTTTTTTTTTTTTCCAGTAGCTTAAGAGTTTCACCTTGAAAAAGCCAGTTCTACATGTGAAAAAAAAAAAAAAGTTCCCTAGTAACTAAACCTCCTTGGCTATTAGTGGAAGTGGAAATGGAACCTTCTAAAAGTACCACCATCTTTATCTTCTAATGTTCAGAAACCGATAGTCCAGAGTGTGAAACAGGAACCCAGTGCACATCAAACAGTAGGAAATGGAAGCTGCCACATGATCCCTTGGAGACAGAGAAAGAGAGAGAAAGCAGGGCCAAGTAGGAAGCTGGTAGCTTCATAAATAATGATAGAAAACTCTGTGTTTCAAGGAAGGGGATCCCAGTACTGTAGTCCCATTTAAGCCAGGGTGTGACCGAATGCATTAGGGCTGTAAACAGGAGACTGCTTGATTGTAGCATCCCGACGGATTTGGTTTCTACACTTCTATAAATGCAGAGTGGAATATTTCATGCCGGAGTATGTAGCTGTGTAGCATGATTGTGCATGCATTACTAATGAACAGTTTTTAATACCAGCGACAAGGCCATCTCTGCACAGTATCTTTCACTTCTGAAAGTCCTGTTTTATATATTCTGCTTTGCACCCCCATCCCTAGAAATTGGTATAATTGGCCTCAGGGATGAGCATCAAAATCTCTGACCATGGGAGCATTGCCTAGTCAGCACAGAAAAGCAGAGTATTGGGGCAGAGTCCTGAAACCTGGGATCCTAATCATTAGCTGGTATGTTACTAGGTTTGGGGATGTTGGAGGCTCCCTGAAGGGAGTCATGGTTAAAAAGAGGGCACTCAGGAGTCTCAGGACGGCACCTGCTTACCACCCAGTATCCAAGTATTCCTATGTTTCGTTTTGCTTTGTTTTGTGTTGAGAGAGAGAGAGCGAGAGCATATGTGAGTGAAGGAGAGGAGGGGCAGAGGGAGAGGGGAAAGAGAATCTTGAGCAGGCTCCAGGCTGAACACAGGGCCCAACTTGGGGCTTGATCTCACAACCCTGAGATCATGACCTGAGATGAAATCAAGAAGCAGATGCTTAACTGACTGAGCCACTCAGGCCCCCCAGGTATTCCTGTTTTAGTAATGAATTTGTGGTGATGCCCACCAGTTAGATGTCACCCCATCTGTGAATGAGCAAACTGGGGATTCTAAGAGGCCAAATGACTCGCCTATATCTCACAGTTAGTAAACGGTGGAATTAAGGTTGGTGTTATTTGTCACCAAGCTGTTGTATCTCTGCGAGGAAATCTGTGTTCTTAGGAAATCCCTAAACATTTATTCCCCTGTGCTGCTCTGCTGCATTGTAGTATTGCCTAAATTATTCTTCAGGAAATCACCAATAAATACATGGTAAACCCACACAAAGGAATATAAGCTATTAGTAATGATGCTACAGAAGTATATTTATTTGGCATAAAAAGATTTATATATTGTACAAACAATAAAAACATTACATATGTCAGATCATTGCATATATATAAGATCACTACACATTTTATATATACATAAATATATATGTATATGATCATTATATACATAATGATATTACAGGGTTTTTTGGGGGAAATGCTTGTGAATAGTACAGTGTAGGTATTAAGATATGGACTTTAGAGTTAGGCAGACTGGGATTTGAATCCCTGCCACAGACCCTGACCACTGGTAACCTTGGGAGACTCTTAAGCCCACTGTGACTTAGCCTCCTTATCTGTAAAATATAGAAATCATAGCATAGCACCCACCTCAAGAGTCGTTGAAGGAAAAGTGAGGTAATGTTTCTAAAATGCTTAACATGATGCGTGACACAAAATAAACACTATCCACTATAATAAAATAATGATAATAATAGTTCTATAAATATTATCTACTATTATTATTTATGCATACAAGTTTGGAGAGCTATTTAATTTTTTAAGCATTCTTCTGTATTTATGAGACACTCAGTGCGCCCAGCTGTGCATCATGTACTGTGGTTTAGAGGAATAGAAACTCTGGCTTCTGTCCTGCAGAGTCTTACATTGCAGTTATATGATTGGTTCAGCATTGGTTGGTTATCATCAACAGGGCAAAGGAAGCTAGTTTTCAGTGTTTTTAGAGAGAGCGAATGAACCAGGGAGTGAACTGTAACTTTGGGGTTTGTTGGAATCCTAAATGCCAGACAGTTACAAGCTCTTTCTCTCAGACTCTTTCCTGGCATGTTGAACAGGTCCTGCAGCCCTATATTTGGTGATTGCTCATTCTCCATTTCTCTAGTCCCCACCTATTATAGATTTTGGAAAGATCATCATCTACACGAATAACTTGAAAATCATTCGAACCCCCATGGACAAGAGAGACTTCATGAGGAAAATTCTCCAGAAGGAAGAGGAGGCTGAGGAGGAGTCTCTGATGAACAAAGAAGAAATCTACGGAGACAGTGACCAGAACGATGGGCATTTGCCAGACGCAGGAGGCACATTCCCCCATAACCAGTACCCACAGGTGTGTCAGAATGGTTCACTGTCTTACTTGGAGCTGGCCCTACAGCAGTGGTCTTTTTTTTTTTTTTTTTTTTTTTTATTTTTTTATTTATTTATTTTTTTTATTTTTTTTTATTTTTTATTTTTTATTTTTTTTTTATAAATTAATTTTTATTGGTGTTCAATTTACCAACATACAGAATAACACCCAGTGCTCATCCCGTCAAGTGTACCCCTCAGTGCCCGTCACCCATTCACCCCCACCCCCCACCCTCCTCCCCCTCCACCACCCCTAGTTCATTTCCCAGAGTTAGAAGTCTTTATGTTCTGTCTCCCTTTCTGATATCTCCCACACATTTCTTCTCCCTTCCCCTATATTCCCTTTCGCTATTATTCATATTCCCCAAATGAATGAGAACATACACTGTTTGTCCTTCTCCGGTTACTGTGGCCAAGTTCAAAAAGGGTGTTGCCTGAGTTCTCCTCTGGGATTTTGATGGAATCTTGTCTCACATTTAGATCTTTCATCCATTTTGAGTTTATCTTTGTGTATGGTGCATGAGAGTGGTCCAGTTTCATTCTTCTGCATGTGGATGTCCAATTTTCCCAGCACCATTTATTGAAGAGACTGTCTTTCTTCTAGTGGATCGTCTTTCCTCCTTTATCGTATATTAGTTGAGCATAAAGTTCAGGGTCCACTTCTGGGTTCTCTGTTCTGTTCCATTGATCTATATGTCTGTTTTTGTGCCAGTACCACACTGTCTTGATGAACACAGCTTTGTAGTACAACCTGAAATCTGGCATTGTGATGCCCCCAGATATGGTTTTCTTTTTTTAAAATTCCCCTGGCTGTTTGGGGTCTTTTCTGATTCCACACAAATCTTAAAATAATTTGTTCTAAGTCTCTGAAGAAAGTCCATGGTATTTTGATAGGGATTGCATTATACGTGTAAATTGCCCTGGGTAACATTGACATTTTCACAATATTAATTCTGCCAATCCATGAGCATGGAATATTTTTCCATCTCTTTGTGTCTTCCTCAATTTCTTTCAGAAGTGTTCTGTAGTTTTTAGGGTATATTTTGAGAACCATTTGAATGGTAAATGGTTCTCCAACCTTTTATTTTCAGGTTGTAGGTGTCCTTCTGTCTAAAATGAGTCTCTTGTAGACAGCAAATAGATGGGTCCTGTTTTTTTATCCAGTCTGAAACTCTGCGCCTTTTGATGGGGTCATTAAGCCCATTCACGTTCAGAGTTACTTGAACTTCTTCTTAAAGGGGAGTTTTAAGAGTCCCCCTTAAAATTTCTTGCAGAGCTGGTTTGGAGGTCACATATTCTTTCAGTTCCTGCCTGTCTTGGAAGCTCTTTATCTCTCCTTCCATTTTGAATGAGAGCCTTGCTGGATAAAGTATTCTTGGTTGCATGTTCTTCTCATTTAGGACCCTGAATATATCCTGCCAGCCCTTTCTGGCCTGCCAGGTCTCTGTGGAGAGGTCTGCTGTTACCCTAATATTCCTCCCCATGAAAGTCAGGGACTTCTTGTCTCTTGCTGCTTTAAGGATCTTCTCTTTATCTTTGGAATTTGCAAGCTTCACTATTAGATGTCGAGGTGTTGAACGGTTTTTATTGATTTTAGGGGGGGATCTCTCTATTTCCTGGATCTGAATGCCTGTTTCCCTTCCCAGATTGGGAAAGTTTTCAGCTAGGATTTGTTCAAATACATATTCTGGCCCTCTGTCCCTTTCGGCGCCCTCGGGAACCCCAATTAAACGTAGGTTTTTCTTCCTCAGACTGTCATTTATTTGCCTTAATCTGTCTTCATGGTCCCTTAATTGTCTGTCTCTTTTTTCCTCAGTTTCCCTCTTTGCCATCAACTTGTCTTCTATGTCACTCACTCGTTCTTCCACCACGTTAACCCTCGTCGTTAGGACTTCTAGTTTGGATTGCATCTCATTCAATTGATTTTTAATTTCTGCCTGATTGGATCTAAATTCTGCAGTCATGAAGTCTCGTGAGGCCTTAATGCTTTTTTCTAGAGCCACCAGTAGCTGTATAATGGTGCTTCTGAATTGGCTTTCTGACATTGAAGTGTAATCCAGATTTTGTAACTCTGTGGGAAAGAGGGCTGTTTCTGATTCTTTCTTTTGAGGTGAGGTTTTCCTTCTAGTCATTTTGCTCAGTGCAGAGTGGCCAAAAACAAGTTGTATTGGAACACGGGGGAGTATCACTGGTCCGTCTAGCTGGTCTTCTGGGGGAGGGGCCTGCTGTGCTGATTCTCAGGTGTTAGCACTTGGGGGAGCTGCTCTGCCCCTGCCTGCTGCAGGGCTCAGCGGGGGTTGTTTACCCCGTGGGACCCAGGGAGGAACAGCAGCAGTTGCTATGGCAACTCTGGAAGCCTGGATTCAGCCTCCGCAGGAACTACGGGGCTCGGGGCTCTCGGCTCTCCGTCCGCAGGGCCTGGAGGCTCCGGGGCGGGGCCGCTGATCTGCTCAGCTCGGGGCAGGAGCGTCCTCGCTGTCCTGGGCCCTCCCGGCCTCTGCCTGTCCCGGGGGAGGCCGGATCCTGGGCTGTGTCCCGGCGCCCTGTGCTCCGGGGCCTGCGCTGGTGGATTCGCGCTCCCGCCCCGCAGCCCCCTCCCTGGAGCCGCTCCCGAGCCCCTCCGAGCTGCTCCGGTCGGTCCCGCCGTGCGCGCTGCAGCCCTTAGGGAGCTCGGAGCACTCTCCTGCGCTCGCAGGTGTCTGTTAGTGTCCCCGGGAGCCCGAGGGCATCCCCGCTCTCCTGGGTCCTGCTCCAACTCCCTGCGAGCCCCTTTCGCCGCCCGGGAAGGTTGGTGCAGCTCCTGCTCCTCCGGGACGGGGCTCTCCTGTCCTGGGGACACTCGCCCCGGCCTCAGCCCGGCTCCTCGCGGGGCCCCTCCCCCTCGGAGGCCTTTTGTTCCTTTATTTCTTTTTCCCCGTCTTCCTACCTTGATAGAAGCGCGGACTCTTCTCACTGTAGCATTCCAGCTGGTCTCTCTTTACATCTCAGGCCGAATTCGTAGATTTTCAGGATGGTTTGAAGGTTATCTAGGTAACTTGGTGGGGACAGGTGATTTGGGGACCCTGCTCTTCCGCCATCTTGCCCCTTCCCAGCAGTGGTCTTCAAATGGTTTTGATTGTGCACACTTAAGTGAGAACTTGAATATAAATACTTGAGATGTCTAACTGTTGAAGACATTAGGGAATTTTAAATTTATTATATTTTAATGGTATGTTATTAGCAATAATGGTTATGTCTGTATTTTAAATATGCATAATTTTATTTTTTTCAGTGACTTCTTTTGAGATCTGATTAGGTATTTATTATTTTCATTCTGCATTGTGGCACAGAACAGCTTATTCTGGACATGGAAAAAAAATCAGCTCTATTCTTTTTTCTTATGGGTTTGCTTGTGCTTCTATTATTGGTGTTACCCTCAATCCAGTTTCCTTAAAGAATCTTATTGAGCCATGTGTCTAGATTTTGTAGAGACTTAGTTTAGTTAAAACTAAGTGTTATCTGTTTATTCATAGAGACACACACACACACACAGAGGCAGAGACACAGGCAGAGGGAGAAGTAGGCTCCATGCAGGGAACCTGATGTGGGACTATCCAGGGTCTCCAGGATCACACCCTGGGCTGCAGGCGGAGCTAAACCACTGCACCACTGGGGCTGCCCAAAACTAAGTGTTATCTGCAAATCCACTAGACCAACGACAAGTGAACTTCCATATGTTGCAAGGTGCTCAAAGTGAATGAATGAGCTGGGACACCACTGTCACTTGATGTGCAGTGGGGTCACTTTACATCATACTACTTCAGGGAAGCAGGGTCCCTTGGGTCCCGTATTTGTCTGGTGACTGCCTGACCTAGTGAAGGGGCCAGTGTCAATTAATTTATTAAAAATGAGCATAACAGTTTCTTTTGAAAATATCTTGAAGCTTAATTTCTTGCCTTTTAAAGATAAAAAGTAAGTAGAAATAGTAGAATGATTTTCTTCCGACACCTCTTAGAGGTGTGCACTCCTCACCTTGGAAACCGTTGCCTGGACATGCTTAGATGAAGGGGTAGAGTGATGATAGTCATTAGTTCGCAGTTTGGGATTGGTGGTGGGAAAAGCAACTTTGATGGATTTAAGCTAAGAGGGTAAAAGCTTGGATAGCAGGAGAAATGAATTTTCTCTCTCTTCAGTTACCATCTTTTGGGAGTTGAAGCTTTCTATGGGACTCACTCTCACCTCCCATGGATCGGTGTGACAAAATGGGCCAGGGGCATCCTCGTACGTGAGTGATGTCCTGACCCCAGTAAGGTTTAGAGGACAGGAATAGGAAAGTCATGACCAGACTCTGGCAAAAGACTCTTATTAAAGTTCTGCTCACAAAGACTCTTATCTTTCTCCAAACTGATTTCAGGTTGATAAGATACGTTTGAAATGCAAGTATGATCATGTCACCCCTTCTTCACTCTTTTCCCCACCCCAAACTTTCAGTGACCTCTGACTGCTTGGAATAAAACAGTATATAGCCTGGGCACTGTTAGCCTCTTAAGCCTCCTCTTACACATCTCTCCTCATTCACTGTCCTAGATACACTGCCCATCTAGCTACCACGCATATATGTTCTTTGCCCTTTCCTACCAGAAGCAACTCCCTTGTGCCTAGAATATTCTCCAGGTTCACCTCTGCTTTGCTCTTAGCACCTGAAATCTCAGTGGAGGCATCACTTGCTCAGAGGGGCCTCCCATCACTTCTATGAAGATAAAATACCCAAGGATGGACCCCTCAGAGCAGCTTACATCCCTCCTTAGATGTGATCTTATATTTCCCTGTGTAAATCTTTGGTTAATGTTTACTGTCACTCACTAGATTTTGTCTCCATGAGTCCAGGGGCCGTATTTATGTTGAGCATAGCAAAGTAGTTCTCATGTCAAAAAAAATGAGAAATAAAAATAAAAATAGAGCCTAGCACAGAGTAGGTGTGCAGTAAATGTTAGTTAAATATTCATAGAAATAGTATTGGAATTTGGGACCAGAGAGCCATCTGGTAGAAGTATCATGCCTCAGCCTTCTCTTGCCTTTTACGTGGCATGGCTCAGAACCTAGCAGAGCAGCAGGCAGACTATAAACGTTGTGATCCAAAGCGTTACTTTCCCACTTTAAAATTCATTAATTCTATTCTTTTTCATCCTATTTTGTAATTTGCAGGAGCATATATTTGCAGAAGTGAGCCAGAAATGATAAAATGCAGGTCACGCTGCAGGCCTGAGTAAAAAAGCAGCAACAGGCCTGACATGACAATTATCTTTAAATTCAATTTGGAGAGATCCATGTTTTTTCGCTGTAAGACCGTAAACTAGGACAGAGGTATGCAGCCGAAAGTTGTCGTGAAAGGTTATACTTCACTTGCCTGTCTTTTAAACTGTTTTAAATTGCTATTTGTTTGCCAAATCCCTTGTGCAATAAATGCCCAGACAGATTTTATTCTAAAAAAGAAGGTCAAAGAACATCAAGGAGCCCCTTCTGACCAGGAGATTCTTTGCTGTGTTAGATGGAACAGGGAAACAGTGGGAACCTTGATGAAAGAGCAGGCCAAGGCTAAAAGGCAGGCCTTGCCAACCCTCTGTATTAACTATAAAAGAAAAGGAGAGGAATAATTGAATTGAGCTACAGTGAAATACAGAAGGGGAAAAATCTGGCCATATGTTTGCTGGATCCAAGACTGTAACTCATCTGGGCTTCTTTATGCTTTATGTGATCTTGCCTTTGAAATAATAGTAGTAGTAGTAGTAGTAGTAGTAGTAGTAGTAGTAGTAATTAATAATAATAATAATAACTGCCATTTATTGAGAGCCCATGATAGCTGGGCACCATGCCCACTGCTTTCCATGCGTTAGTCTCTTTCTTTCTCATGAGGACTCTCTGAGGGAGGTAATTGTTAGCAGTCTTCTGCTGTAGCTAGGGGGAACCAAGGCACAGAGAAATCAAGTAAGTTGCCACACGTCATTAGAATTGGCAGTCAAACCCAGGTCCACCTGACTACCAATCTTATAATCTTAACCCATCTACTGAGAAGCCTCCAGATTGGTGCTCGTTGGCTACTTTAGGGCCACCCAAGCTTTTGAATCTACAGTGAAAGCTGAGGCCCTTTTCCTTGCTCATGGAGCCAGTAAGAGGTGGTTTGGTAAGGTGGTCTGTTGGTTCTAGAACTTTAGTTGTGCAATACAACTATGTTCTAAGTCTTCTTACTGAATATTTTCTGAGAAGAATTTAAAAATGTTGAGAATGGAAGACAGAAGCTTATATCCCGCATGCCTTGTACAGAGTAGAGGCTCAGTAACACTTGATTTAATGAATCACTAAATGATTCAGTGAGTGTGCTGAGGGCAGTAGTTGGAAGGAGGTTGGTAACCTAGGGTAAGAGTGCAAACTCCAGTGAAGCCCCTAATACTGCATTGTATAACCATGTGGCATTAGAGAAAATTTGATCAATGATTTATTTTTGTTCTCTGCAGCACACTCACCAGGTCACTTTATTAATCTTTTAATACCTGAACCTGGCATTCTATGCAAATTAATTTTTGGCTAACATGTATGGCACTATGGTAGGATTTTACTGTACTTTCTTTGACAACATTAAAATCTCACTAGGACCCAGTACAAAACAAAAACGTGGATTTGGCAGCAAAATGGACCGTGATAATTTGCTTAAAGAATATTTTGGCAAATACATTTAATTTGAAGACTTTAAGAGAAGAAAAACAAGTTTCTCCATTGTTAATATATTAAAGCATAGCAGTAGTCAGGGCGCCTGGGTGGCTCAGTTGGTTAAGCATCAGCCTTCAGCTCAGGTCACGATCCCAGGGTCGTCAGGATCCCTGTTCAGTAGGGAATCTATTTCTCCCTCTCTTTCTGCCTGCTGCTCCCCCTGCTTGTGCTTTCCCTCTCTCTGTGTCAAATAAATACATGAAATCTTTTTAAAAATAGAATAAAATATGGCAGCAACCGATAAAATATTAAGAAAAGAACATAGACATCATTTAGGTTTTTGTCAGTTGGATAATCCAACTGTTTAGGATCCAAAAGTTTAGGAAACTTCAGTTTCCTAAATCTAGAATAAATAAAATTTAATACCTTCTTAGGCACTTTCTAGCACAATGGAACTATTTTCAGAATGTATGCCTCCTTTTCCAAGATTATTTTTATTCTTAAGTTATAAAAGAAAGCTGTGTTAGCTGGGTGGAGCTACCCAGGGAACTCCAGCTCTCTTGTTAGTTCCTAGAATTTAAGAATTGGGAGGGTTCTCCAGATAGCATTATTTTGTTTCTTTGTCCAATAAACATGTGAACAACAAATATTGTGCCAGTCACCATACTTTAAGTCTTGGAAGTGGTGGTGACAGACTAGCACAGAGAACTTGCTGTGTGGTCAGCAGAAACCTTCAGTAGATATGAGATGTGCCATGCTTGGGGCAGTACAGGTGGATCAGGACTCCGGTCTAGAGGTGTAGGTACTGCTAAGCCAACATCTGAAAACAAATAGGATTTGGCTGGGTTGGAGAGAGGAGCCCACAGGATCTGAGGCAGGGCTCCACCATGAATCTGTGCCAGAATTGGTGGGTATCTGGACTAGGATTGTGGTTGTGGGTGGAGAAAACTGGATGGATTTGAGAGATGTTTAGCAGGTAAAATAGAGAGGACTTGGTACTGGATCTGTTATTGATTTAGTACTACCCCTTATTTCTTGGGAAGTTCATGGTCTATGCACAATCTTTGCACAGAGTACAAAGTTTACCAGTTTCCTTGGGATGGATGTCCTTAGGGAAGGAGCATGGCAGTAGACAAGGGGCATTATCTGCAGGATGGGAGTTGAGGACTAGTAAGTCCAGACTTAATAGCAAGGCTTAGGAGTGAACTAACTTTTATGGAGAACCTATAATATGCCAGATAATATATTGTGGTCTTTTTACATACTCTCTCATTTAATATTCTAGCTACTCTGAGTGGTGAGCATTACGAGTCCCATTTTGCAGGTGAAGAAAAAGGTTTAGAGAGGCCAGGGGAGAACTGTCCACGGTGCACGATTGCTGTCTTAGGCCATATCACAGTTCTTAAAGAAAATAAAGATGAAGTGCTGCAAGAATTCAGAGCTAAGCTTCAGAGGATTGTTGTTGAGTTGAGTTGTCCATCTACTCAGTCTTTGGTCACATAAAAACAATATTTCTTGAATGCCTGCTGTTGGACAGCTACAGTGAGGGGCTGTGTACATAGTCGTGTGGAGCATGAACTCTGGGCTCAGTTGCCTGGGATCAAAACCTGCCTCCTCTCTTCCAGGCTGTGTGACCATTGTCAACTTCTCAGTCTCTCATTTTCTCATCTGCCACAAGGATGATAATACTCACCCTATCTCACTGGGATGTGTGTGGATTAGATAGATGGATATAGAGCAAACTCTTAGAACAGCTCCTGGCACCTACTTAGCATGCCACAAATGTTCACTATTAGCATTTGGCAGTGAGGGAAAGTAAGTCCTTGTCCTGATGGAACATACAGAAATAACATGTCACATGGTGACAAGGGTGATGAGGAAGGAGGAGGTATAGAGTGCGGGGGGTGGGGGGGATGCTGTCTCAGAGATTCCATCAGGGAAATCCTCTCTGATAAAATTAAAGTGAGTTTTCTGTGCCTCTGGCCTGTTCCCCCTTTGCCAGTTGTAGGAAGCATTTTGTCCTCCCATTCTCTCATTTTGCCTCTGCCTTCTTGGCAGCCCAGTGCTATTTCAACCTGCTTTGGAAGAAAGGTCTCGAACTGCTGTAACTAAACCCTGACCTGTCTCTTGCAGGAAGGGGAGCTTCCCGAGGACAACTGTTTTCACTGCCGAGGGTCGGGCAGCGCCACCTGCTCCCTGTGCCACGGCAGCAAGTTCTCCATGTTGGCCAACAGATTTAAGGAGTCCTATCGGGCCCTGCGGTGCCCTGCCTGCAATGAGAATGGCCTGCAGCCTTGCCAGATTTGCAATCAATAGCCCGTGGCTTTGTATGTCCGCTGTTATTGCCTCCTTCCTGAAGTGATTTCTAATAAACTGCCCCCCCCCTCCTTCTCTTCCTTCTCCCAGCAAGGAAGCCACTGTGGCTGTGACCACTTCCACCACTGGCAAAACTCAATCACTTGATGACATTTCGTAAAGCTAGTAGCATCTCCGTGTGGTCCTAAGTGGCAGAGGCATTTTCGAATTAGAGTCTGCTTTGAAATGGGTTCTAAAATTATCCTTCCAAGAACGTGTGTGTGCATCTTATTTGACTTAGCTCAGTTTTTTCCCTTGCACTAGTGAGCAAATAAATGTCCATTTCAGGCAGCAGGTTGAAGTCGTTTTCTGGTTGGGAGTTATTTTGCAAAATTATGCAGTGAGGAAGGAATAAAAAAGGCAGGTTTCTGATGAACTGAATTCCTGTTGCTTGTAATGTATTTGAAATCATTATCAGTCAGATTGAATTTTTAATTAAGCAGAAGAGGACAGGGATGTCCAGTGCCGAATGTATTAGCAGGCCACTGAAAACAAAATAACATGTACGTGCTTCATGCTGAAGATAGGCAAGCTGAGAAGGCTTTTCTTTCCAAGTCCTGAGTCTCTCCTGTGTGATGTGCTTGGGTAGTATTCATGCAGGCAATGAGCAATGCTACTTCTTAAGACCAGATGAGATAAGACATTTCTGTGTGCCTCTAAACTACTGAGGGTATTTACAAGCCAAGTCAAAGCTATTTATTATAAATTTGGTGCTTAAGTATGTGTGTGTGATATGACTTCTTGAATTATTAGCAAGTAAATAAATGTATTTTAAATCTAAGATACAGCCACAATCTCTTCAAAAAAGACTGGGTATTTTATAGTTCTCTGCTGGAAACCTCTCAAAGAAAAACTAACCTGGGCAGATTTTTAAGAATTATCTTTCCACTATCTGTGAATACACATGCTGAAGTTAATTCTTTCCTCTTAAAGTTAATTATAAAATTAGAAAAATACTTTTGTTAATGACCTTTTGTAGCTCTAATACCCACTCCCCTTACCCCTTGAGAATAACACTGTAAAAACTGTTATCTATAGAGACACATGGCTTTTCTATGATAATTTTTATTTTCATAACTTAATTTTTTTCAAAATTTTTGGTTACCCTCTAATATTTACCTGTTAAAAGAATCCAATGGTGGAATGCTTTTCAGGAAATATAAACACTTATAAAAAGATTAAAATATTTTTTGAAGCCATAATACATTTTGCCTTTTCTCTCTGAGACAGAATAATAGAACTATTGCTCACCAACTTTCTTTGCTTCTGTACTTAACTATTTCCTCACTTGGATTATGTTTGTGTGTTTTCCTTTTAAGATTTTATTCACTTATTTGAGAGGAGAGTGAGTGTGCAAGCAAGAGAGAGAGAGAGCGTGCGCACACAAGCGATGTTGGGGGCGAGCAGAGGTTGAGGGAGAAGCAGATTCCCTTCTGAGCAGGGAGCGTGATGTGAGACTTGAACCCAGAATCCTGGGATCTTGACCTGAGCCGAAGGCAGATGCTTAACTAATTGAGCCACCCAGGTGCCCCTTGGCTTATGTTTTCTCGCAGCTTTTGACTCTGTTTGTTTTTCCAGAGGACCAGATGAAGGAATGATAACAAGAGACCTTTAAGTGTATTGTTCTCTTTTTTGACAGGAAGATTTGACAACAAATATTTTGAGTCCTGTATGCTTGATGTGCATTGTTGCCCAGATGGGCAACAACCCTTTGGTAGTGCATGAGGCTTACAGTCTCAGTGGAGGAGACAGATCTATGAACAGATAATTCCAACATAGTGTGACAAGTTCTGGGACAGGGGGATTACAAGGAGCATTTGAAGCACATAGAAGGGACATCTAACATAGCCTGAGTGGGGTTGGAGAGGCTTCCCAGAGGAAGAAGTGTAAGCATTGTTGGCCTCTTTTCCTTCCTTCATGCTTTTCAGGGCTTTTAATACTTTCCATCCCATGATAAATATATCCACTAATAATTACATTTGTTTATTCAGTTAACAAGTATTTACTGAGTCCTGGAGATATATTGGTAGACAAAGCAGACAAAATCCTAGCCCCCATGGAGCTTACATTTTGGTGGGGAGATAATGACAACTAACAACATTTATTAAATATGTAATACATATATTTAGAGACAACTAAAAAGTATTCAACAGAGAATTAAAATATATAATTTTATGTATGTACCTATAATGTATAGGTGTAGAGGGTATTAGAAAAGGATACATGCTTTGATGAAAAAGAAAACAATAAGGGGCATAGAGAGTTGGAAGGGGTTGAAATTTTATTTTAAGATTTTTAAAATTTCTTTTTCATGAGAGACACACACACAGACACAGGCAGAGGGAGAAGCAGGCTCCTCACAGGGAGCCTAATGTGGGACTTGATCCCAGGACTCCAGGATCACACCCTGAGCTGAAGGCAGATGCTTAACCGCTGAGCCACCCAGGCGTCCCAGGGGTTGAAATTTTAAATTAGCTTTCAGGGAAGCATCATTGAGAAGGTTTCCTTTAAATAAAGGCCCAAAGGAGATGAGGAGTGGCTTGTGAAAGTAGATACTTTCCAGGCAGAGGAAAGATTTTTCCAGGCAGAGGAAATAGCAGGTGCTAGGCTCATAAGAAGGAGAGCCTGACGTGTTTGGAGAACTGCGAAGAAACCAGCGTGGCTGGAGAGCATTGAGCAAGATGACAAGTGACAGGAAATGAGGTCAGGAAGAAAGGCCATGCGTCTTGGCGTGAAGGGGCCCTTTCTTTCAAAGCCCTTGTAAGATCTTGGGTTTACTGAGTGAAGTGCTGTTCTGGATGGGGTCTGTTTTCTCTCAAGGCACACCCCCTCCTTCCATACCCTGCTCTTACTTGCTGGGGTAGGAGACCTGCAAACTATACTTCCCAGAAGTCTGGCGGGCTGGTTTCCCATTAAGTTCTGCCAACAGGAGGTATTGGCAGAACTGGAGGCAGGAGGAGCCTTCTCTTTCTTTCTGATGGGAATCCTGACAGCTGTTCCCATGTGGCCACGGCAGTAGCAGTTAGAGCAGCCCAGAATGCTGGCTAAGGAAGCCTGGTTCCAGCTGTAATCACCTTGGCGGCTCTGATTGTAGGTTCAATGTAACACCATTTCCCCCTTTTGTTCCTCTAGCCTAGGAGTGGTGATGGCTTGCTGCAGTTACTTATCTTTGTGATCAATCCCCTACAATATGTATTCCCTCTCTTTGAAATGTCTACAGTGGTTTCTGGGTTTCCTGATTGAATGCCAGGTGATACAAATATTTTGAGCAAAGGAAGGTCACAGTCTGATTGTGTTTTACTAAGCTTCTCTGGCTGCTGTGTTGACAAAAGACATCGTGGAGCCAAAGTATAAGTGGGAGCCCAGTTAGGAGACAATTGCAATAATTCTGGTGACAGCTAGTGGTGGCCTAGGCCAGTGTGGTACTAGAGGAAGTGGTATAAGTGGTTAGATTATGGATATATTTTGAAGGTTAGAGCCATAGAGTCTGTCTCCTGTCCTTTGTACCGAGAGATATTGCCCATGACTGCTGTGTGCAAACCTTATCTGTGGAGATAAGTAAAATACCCACTTCTTGGTTTGTGATCTCCAAGCATTGCCTCTGGTTTGAGCACTGCCATGGGTAAGCTTACTGTCATGAGTATAGTTGGCCAACTGATACTCCTAAGACTGCAAGAGTTCCTTCAGAGCTAGGAACAATTATGATGGTTTAAAAATATCCTAGTGATGCTGGGACACTTGGTTGGGACACCCGGTTAAGCGTCTGGCTCTTGATTTTGGCTCAGGTATGATCTGAGGGTTGTGAGATCAAGCTCCATGCCAGGGTCCATGAGATTCTCTCTCTCCCTCTGCCCCTCCCCCCACTCAAGTGCGTGTGGGTGCACATACACACACTCTCTCTCTAAATAAAAAAAAAAATCTTAAAAAAATCCTAGTGATGCTATAATTAAAATAATACTATGCCTTTTAAATGCTCCAAAAGTTTTAACTATGTCAGCTATAGTTCAATTCAAAAAGTTTTAAATTAATATGAAGGTTTTCAGAAGACATAATATCTATCCATTTACTTATTCATTGAGGCATTTCTCACTGACTTTCTACTATTGTCCAAGTATTTATACTAGACTGTCAGGATTGAAAGATGAAAATACTCTTAGTATTTATCATTAATGAGATAATAATCTCAGGCTTCTGAGTCAGCATGATAAATGAATCTGGTTGTAGAACTCTGGAGGACACTTCCACTACCCTTTGCTACTGACTCCTAGTGATTCTGTTCCTCTGCTTGGCCAGGTTAGCTGGGTCCGCTATGGGGGCTTTATTACTGAATTTCTTTATTTCTTTACTTATTTGAACAATCACATATCACCTGTACTGTGTGCAGGACACTGTTCTAGGCACTTCACAGTAAGTCCATTTGTCCTAACAATTGAATTCATCCTGTGTATCGGTCATCTGTTAGCCCCACACATGCCATTCCTTCTCACATCACATCCACACTGACCACGAACATGCAAAACCTTTCAGTGACCATCACACACATCTTGCTGGACTAGGCTTTTGTGAAGGTAACACACTGTACTGAAAATGGGGGTGGTAAGCAGGGCGTTGAGACCATGTAGTAACACCTCACCCTAACTTAGCAATATTGGTTTTGCTGGTGTGCTGGTCCCTTAGAACCATCCCTCCTGGTTCCTTCTGTCTTTTCTGCCTTTCCATCCCAGTGCACCCTCTGTCTTTCTAACTCTGCTAGATGGAATAACTCATCTCTGTGGCCCCTCTTCCCAAATGTGGCTTAGCCTCTACACCTATCTACTCCTTCACACAAAGATCTGCAGGGCCAGAAGGTTTCCCCTCACGCACCCCACCCTTCTTGAAAGTCGCTTGTGCTTTGCAAGGTCTCTTACCTTCCCCTCCCTGCCTGTTGATTCTGTGGGGTAAAGGAGACCATACCTTTCTGC